CCACAGGCTCATGTGTCTGAACACCTGAGCCCCAGTTGATGGTGCAGTGTTTGGAGGTTGTGGACCCTCCACTGTGGGACAGGCATTGTTACAACCCAGCCCCGCTTCCCACTCAAGTTCTCTGCTTCCTGGTCAGCACCGTGTAATAAACGACCAACAGCATCACACTCCCACCACTACAGTCAGGAATCACACTCGCCACTGTAACTGCAGCCTCTCAGGACAGGCATTGTTACAACCCAGCCCCGCTTCCCACTCAAGTTCTCTGCTTCCTGGTCAGCACCATGTAATAAACGACCAACAGCATCACACTCCCACCACGACAGTCAGGAATCACACTCGCCACTGTAACTGCAGCCTCTCGAACCACAAGCTGAAATAAACCTGTCTTAAGCTGCTTGCCAAGTATCTGGTCACAATATAATGCAAGGAGGCTATTCCTGGGGCAGCCCAGGCATAGGAGGAATGGCAGGACTCAACATCTGCCACTCACAACTTTGCAAAGTATCAGACATCAGTCTCAGGCTGGAAATGATGCACAGGCTTGAAATCCCACTAGAGAACAAGCCCACTGTTGTCCATATTTGGCTTGAACCCCTTCATTAATTGACACTTACTTACCCCTTCTCCCCAAAACCAGTTCTGTTTGCTGGTTTGTTTTTTAAATATTTTATTTATTATTTTTATTGTATGTGTATGAGTGTATTAACTGCATGCATGTAAATGCACCCATGTTGTACAATTCCCATGAAGGTCAGAAGAGGGTGTCAGACCTCCTGGAACTGGACTTGCAGACAAGACAGTTGTTAGCCACCATGTGGGTGCTGGGAATCGAATCCAGATCCTCTGCAAGAGCCATCAGTGCTCTCAACCACCGAGCCATCTCTCCAGCCCCATTTGCTGATTTGTGTGAAAACTCCTCTTTATGTCATTAAATATAACAAGCAAGTTGTAAAAGTATGTGACCCCATCATACATGATGGAGACAGAGCTACACCTGCACCACATATCAAGGAAAGCGGAAGACCCCTGCCATGCTGCTGATGGCTCAGGCACTGGTAAGCTCCAACAGTGGGGTTTTTATGGTTCTTATTTTGCTCTGAATATTACTTAGGTAAACAAGTTTCCTGAAGTCTGTTGAAAGCCTCTCTCTTTGTATTGCACTTACAACTTCACCTATTTCCACATGCATCGATCCTGAACTGTTCTTTCTTTCTGCTCTCCAGAGGGACCTTTCAAGTGTCTCTGGGGACTCTGTGGTCACAGTGAACCAAAATATCTCACCTTGCCTGTAGACTTGACCCCTTTCCAGATGCAGAAGTAGCAAACGATCCAGATGAGCAGGAGGCACAAGGCCAGTTCCCAGCGCAGGGCCCCCAGGTTATGGATGCCCGATGTAATGCTCAGAACCCGTCTCCTAAGAGATTGGGAAAATTAAGTAACCAGGTAAAACACCAAAGGGAGCAGTCTGCCTCTGTCACCAAGTCTCCTGACTCAGAGCTGACCCGACAGTTCTCACATCCCAGGGTTTCCTCCACCCCTACCCCCCCAGACCTCCCTATGGCCCTGTCATGTTCCCACCTGTGGTCTGAGTGCCCCTGGCTGTTAGAAGACCAAATCACTGTAATCCCATAGGTATCTGTGTCTTTCTAACTCATCCAGGTTTCTCTGTTGTACAGAGAGATAAAGAAAGAGAGTGAAGGTGGTGAGAACTGTGAGTGAGTGGTGGAGAGTAGATATCTATACATGCAGGGGAGGGTCGGCAATGACACAGGACCAAGGGGAGGGGATAGATGTATGCTGGGGTCTAAAGATGCAGGGGGTGGAGATGTGTGTACATAGAAGAGAGCTCAGATAACCCAGGGTGGGCAGGTAAGAAGGCATGGGTAGGTGGATGAGTGCTGTGTGTGTGCAGGGTGAGTTGGTGTGAGGGCACAGGAAAACATGAGGGAAGGCAGGTGGCGTGTACAGCCTGTGGAAATGGAGTTGTACATGGTCATTCAAGAAGGTGAATAGTGAGTTTTAGAATCGTCCATTTCTGCGGTGCAAACGCTACCTAGGTCAATGTCAAGCTACCCACCAGACACCACCGAACAGTTTGGAAGCGACGCACACAGCTGGTTGCCTTGAGGGAATGAAGGCTGTTTCTACGACCCTGTGGACTGGGGTCTAGTGATGTGGAGGTGTGACTGGGGTGTGCAGTTGGGGCTGGGTGTGAGGGCATAGGAAGACATCGTGAGTATGAGTGGATACAGATGGAAAAATTCAAGACTGTATAGACATGTGAGGGCTTGGGGGTAAGTAGGTAGGCAAGAGAGGCTGAGTATGAAGGTGCCTTTATCACTCAGTGATGTGGGACTGGGGGACAAGAGGAGGTGGATGATACTAGAAAGCACACACAGTGTCTTAAGCTTGCACCACCAACATTCAAGCTCACAGAACCCAGATATACAGGCTTTCTCTGCTTGAAGCCCCTGGCATGTGGTAACCAGGCCTGAGACCTACTCCCAGAATTCTATGACAGGTGATGTGAAGTTCTCAGAATGCCTCAGAGTGCTGGCTGTTGAGTGGTTCTGAAAGTCCATGCAATGCTCTGTTGGGGACAAGATTGGGGTTATATATCAGTTAGGGATGAGGAGAGATGCCCTCACTCTAATTCTCTGAATTTGCGACCAAAGCTTCCCACCATTCCTAGGCCGAAGAGTTTCCTCAGGAGTGGGAAATCCATGGGACGGGCTGGCTACTCCTCCCCATATAGCCTGTGATCACTGCATTTACTCCTACGGACACTATCATCCTTCAGCACAATACAGACCACAGATTCACACAGCCCACATGCACAGCTTCCACAGGTGGTCTACCCATTCTGTCATCTCCATCCTCCAGACACGGCACCTAGTCCCTGTGCTGCTCTTCCCCAGTCCGCAGCACCCGTCACAGGTCAGGCTCTTTCCTTTGCCACCGTTCTATAATTTCTGTACTGTTTCTTCTACCCACAATGAGGTACCCTTGCTTTCTTCTACCACAGCAAAATCAGACAGCATGGCGCCCTACCTGCCCTTGCTCAGCCTCGACACAGGGTTTGGCACATAAGAGGTGCCCAGTAATGTAGGCTAAATCAAAGAACAAATGGGCAGTGACACCCCGTTGTCAAAGTGTAGCAGCCTCACTGGTTCCCCCAGTGGCTGAGCTATGAGGCAAGTTCTGTAGTGTGTTCTATTGTTATTTGCCCCCTGCCACCAGTCAGTCTCCTGGGTGAGGCCTCAGGGCAGGGACTGGCACACTGATACCTGTGTTCCAGGAGTTACTGCAGGTTGTCCAGGGCAGCTCCGAGGTGAAGGAGCTGAATAGGTAGAAGAGAGCCCAGGCAAGGATGATGATGTAGTAGATGTTCAAGTAGGACTCAATGACCATAGACGCCAGGCCAATGCCTTCAGGAACAAGAAGAGAATCAGAGAGGTGAGTGTACGCAAAAAAAGAAAAGAAAAGAAAAGAAAGAAAAGAAAAGAAGAAAAGAGGAAAAGAAAGAAAAGAAAAGAAAAGAAAAGAAAAGAAAAGAAAAGAAAAGAAAAGAAAAGAAAAGAAAAGAAAAGAAAAGAAAAGAAAAATGTCACGCAGAATCTGCCAGTCATGGTTACAGGGGTCTTAGGAGCTACCACAGAATCATGGGAGTCCATTCACTGGTGTGAGTTGCCATTCAGAACATGCCCTTCTCTTTTCTTTTTTTCTTTCTCATTATTTATTTTTTAATGTAGTTTATTTATTTTTATTTTATTTTAATTTGTTTTGCCTGCAGGTAGAAAGTGTACAACGTGTGTACAGTGCCCACGGTAGCCAGAAGAAGGTGTCAGATTCCCTGGAGTTATGGATGGTTGTGAGCCACCATATGGGTTCTGGAAACTGAACCAGAGTCCTCTGCAAGAGCAACAAATGATTTTAACTACTGAGCCGTCTCTCCAGCCCCCTGATTTATTTTTTTATGTGAACGGGTGTTCTGCCTCCGTGTATGTAACTGTACCCATGCATACAGTGTTCACAGAGGCCAGAAGACGGTGTCAGATTCCCATGAAACTGAAATTACAATTTCCGTGGATGTTAAATGCTATGTGGGTGCTGGGAACTGAACACAGTTCCTCTGGAAAAGCAGTCAGTGCTCTTAACTTCTGAGCCATCTCTCCATCTCCTCTTTTTTCTTTTCTTTTTTTTTTTTTTTTTTTTTTTTTTTTTTTGTCTTTTTTTTGAGACAGGGTCTCCTTGTAGCCCCAGCTGTCCTGGAACTCAATATGTAGACCAGGCTGACCTCAAACTCATAAAGATCTGCCTGCCTCTGCCTCCCAAGTGCTGGGATTAAAGGTGTGCACCACCACGCCCAGCTCTTTTTTTTTTCTTTTTAAGACAGAGTTTCAGTATACAGCTCAAGGTGGTCCACAACTTACAATCCCCTGCTTCAGCCTCTGGAGTGCTGGGTTAAAGACAGGAGTGTGTGCTACCATACCTAGCTCCACATTATCTTTTCCTAAGAAAAGTAGGTTATATATCACTATCTCACATATTCTCTCATTACTGTGGTGTGTGTGTGTGTGTGTGTGTGTGTGTGTGTGTGTGTGTCCATGAGAAAAATTCTTGAAGGGTCTTCATCCAAAAGTTAGCCAATAGCTCCCAAAGAGATAGGACTGCAGAGCTCTTTTGCTTTCTGCATACCTGCATTTTCAATTACATCACATAGTACTGGTAAAACGAAAAATGACAGAACAAAGAAAGGAACAAGGGAAGCTGGACTGAGTGTCTGAAGTCAGAGGCCAGCAGCAAAGAGGAGTCCTGAGCTGTGGTAGTGGTCTCCTATGGAAACCTGTGCTGTGAAAGTTCCCACAGTCATTCTAGCTGCAGGGTGTTGCTCAATGGAGCTGAGCCTTCACTCTGTCCCAACAGGAGTCTCCTGGATGCTTTAAGAGGTCAGCTGATACCCCAAGCAGCGCATCTTGAAATCAGCCTTGCCCTTTCCCAATCTTTGGTCAGGCAGCCAGCCTACTCAGGAACCACAGTGCCCACACTCTGTCATCAGGCACACTCAGCTTGATCCCTTCCTAGACTAATAACCCAGGTGACCTAGTCCCCAGGGAAAGAACCCTCTCAACATCTTATGTGTAAGGGATGTCTGAGAGGTAAGCAGAGGTAAGGAGACCCTTGGGCCCTCCACTGGTACCTGGGTGAACTGGCCAAACCACTAAAGGGAGGCTAGAGAAGGACATCCAAGTGCTTGCAGCCACACCACTGATCTAGACAGGAGCAGGTTGTCTGTCCCTAATAGAATGGTAGCCCTGGATCAAGTTCTCAGTTAACGGCCCTACTTTCTTATATAGAGAATGAGGTGATTCAAGTTATTCCAGGACTGAATGACAATGCATGGAAAGCTCTCACATGAACCCTGACCCAGCCAGGCTCAGAAGATGCTCTCTCTGTCACCATCAACAGCATTCCTGTGCTTACATCCTTTGAAGCCTGTCTGGGGCATGCAGTAGAGTCAGAGACATACTGTCCCTGGGGCAGATGAAGGTTCAGTTTCAGGGTCCTGATTTCTCTTCCAAGCTCTGTACTTAATTTGATAGCTGTAATTCTTTATTGTTTTTCTTGACCTGTGACCTCTCCCCAAGCTTCTAAGCTTTGGGTTTCGAAAGGCTGATTTCATACTTAGCACAGGATGAGAAAGGATGGGTACTGAGGCCTAGAAAGGGTAAGGAAGAGTAGGAACAACTGACAGAGGCAGGCAAGATGATGGGCCATGGGCAGAAAGGGAGTGGGGTGGCACTCACCCTGGAGGAGGGGACAGATCTTCCTCCAAGCAGTGACGCTTCCTTGGCTGCTGTACTGGCCCAGTGCTACCTCTAGGAAGAACACGGGGATGCCACAGATGAAGAAGAAGATGAAGTAGGGGATGAAGAATGCTCCTAGGGAGAGAAAGAAAGTCAGGGGCCCAGCCATGCTTGCTGCTTTCAGTCCCAGAACTCTCTGGACACCTGTCCTCCAGCATCTCCATCCCCATCCTCCTTCCTCATATTCCTGAGGCCCACATGCCTCCCTCTAGCTAGCTGCATGCCCTCAGGGGTGTGGACCAGAAGGTGTGCTAGGTCTTTGTATGGAAAGGAATGAATCTTGAGATGGAAACTCTAACATATGCACTATTTACTCAATGTGTTTTAACAACTCTAGTCATTTATTATTTTTGGAACAAAAACTGTGTTCTGTATAATTTGATACACTTATTAAACTATCATGACAGGTACATTTTAGAGGGAAACAAACAAACAAATCCACCTTGGAAACGTTTGTTTCTTACTAATAATTTCCAGAGTTTTCCTCACTCCCAGGCCTGATGAGAAGCAAGTCCCGCAGGGAAGTCAGAGCTACTGAGGCACCGCCCTGCCTCGGAGAACCGTACTTCAAGATTCTCCTTTTTTGCAACTTAGCAATTGTTTGGTACTTCCCGTGTATCAGTGATCCTCTTCTATCTTTCACCAACATCACAATCCTCACAAAACAACCTTCCAAGGGATGGGGGGAGAGATACTGTCATTCCCCACTTAATGGATAAGAAAACTGAGGTCAGGTTAAAAATGCAAAATCTGGCCTGGAAAGCTGGGTCAGGGGTTAAGGACACTGGCTGCTCTTGCAGAGGACCCAGGTTCAATTCCCAGCACCCACATGGTAACTTATAAACATCCATAACCAGTTCCAGGAGGATCTGATGCCCTCTTCTGACCTCCTCGGGCATTGCAAGACATAGGTGCTCTTACATGCAGGCAGTACACTCATACACACAAAATAAAAATAATAAATAAAATTGTTTTTAAAACTGAGCTGGAGGAAGACAAAGGCACAGCCCTGAGTGTTCTGACCCTGAGGCTCCTGCTCCCTCAAACTGGGGAGAAAGACAGAAAACATAAAGGGAAGAAAGGACAAAGCAGAACTTTCCAGAACTCTGCCTGCCTGGTGCCTCTGTGTAGGTGCTGAGCATCAAACCCAGGTTCTCTCTGCAGGAGCAGTCAGTGCTCATAACTGCTGAACCATCTCTCCAGCCCCACAATGTAATATATGTTATTTGACAACCATTTTTTAAAATTTATAGCACAAACTTCTTTGTGTCAATAAACATAATACCATTTCAATGATTATATGGAGTTCCACAGTGTGGAATGATATTTTGCTGGAATTTATCATTAGATTTCTAGTTTTTTTTTTATTAGAAACATCACAGTGAAGATCATTGCCCCACTTGTGCGTTTGTCCAATTTGCCCCTTAGTACAAATTTCCCAAGGAAGAATTGCTAAAGTATTCCTCTTTTCCCTGGCATGTATGTGTATGTGAAAGTACATACAACTTAAGTATATATTTTGTAAGTGTACCATTCCATGTTGTTAAAGCATTCCCAGGGCTGTACAACCATCACCATCATCCATTCCCAGAACGTTTTCATCTTCCCGAATTAAAACTCCATATGCACTGAACACGAGCTCCGCATCTTCTCCCCCTCCTTACTTCCTGTCGATCATAGTCTACTTTCTGTCTCTACCAACTCTCCTATCCTGGGCACCTCACACATATCACACGAGTGGAATCATACAGAGTTTGCCGTATTACATCTGGCTCATTTCATTCAACGTATCTTCGAGATTCATCCATGCCATAATGCATCATAATATCCCTCTGTAAAGGCTAATGAAAGCTCCCTTGTGTGTAGACACCACACTTTGAAGAAGGGCTCTTCACAGAAAATCCACAAAGCACATGGCCCACAGGTCCCATCTCATCAACTGTGGAGCATAATTCCTCTGCTCTTGGAATAGGGGCTTTTACCCCATAAAAGATGGGTGCCTTCCAGAGGCCTAAGGCTAGGCCTTCCTCAGGCTAGACTCCAGACTTGGCCCTCTAGGGCCTGCATGGAGGCCATCTCTGGGCATAGCACAGGGCACCCTCAGTGCTTGGCTCTCTCTTGAGCTTCCGATACACCAGCACTACACATACCCTCCCAAGACCTTTACACTCCATTCCCTCTATCATCCCTTATCCCTCCTTCACATCCTTCAAGTCTTTGCTCAGATGTTGCCCAGTTGTCCCCCTTCCCTGTTTTCCTTCTGGTCACTCTTCAAGTCACACTCGTCTCTGTCATATGTCACACATGATCTGTAGCCTTCATCAGAATGCAGCACACAGACTTAAGTTCTGGTTTGCATTTAGAACAGGGTTTGGCTCTGGAGGGGCCTGGGATAAGGGGACTTGAATGAATGAATGAATGAATGAACCCCATTAGCCATTATCATCTGTGGAGAGTAGTGCAGGAGTTTAATAAGAACCCTGGGCCCCTGCTTCAACCTGTTCCCTCCTTTAAACCTCATGTTATCCTGAGAATATAGATTGCCCCAATTCATAAAGGGGATCATAGAGCCTAGAGATGGAGCTAGGGCCCCACCAGAGCTCTCCAGCTCTATAACAGCCCTCCTTCCGTTTGATCACATTGCCAGGAAATAAAGGTCCCACTGGCAGGGCACAGCGTTCCTCACCATAACCCCTGAATGTGAACTTACCACCTCCATTCTTGTAGCAGAGATAGGGAAACCTCCAGACATTGCCTAGCCCAATGATCTCCCCAGCCACTGACAGCACAAACTCCATCTTGTTGGTCCATTGGCCCCGCTCCTTCACCTGGTCCTCGCCTTCCTGGTCCACTGTCTCTCCCTCCTCAGGGACCCAGGAAACCACAGGACATCCATCTCCGTGGACTGCCACTTTTCTGTCCATACTGGCTGGGGAGGTCCTGTGGGGTGAGGCAGTACTGTGAGAGGCAGAGCCTGGCAGAAGAAAGAAGAGGGGCTGTAACATCCCCCATGTTCTTCCACCTAACCCTTCCCAGCCCAGTCCTTCTTATGGGGATGTTAAATTTCTTCCCAAACTCTTGATGGCCTTGCTACCAAGTGTCGCTCTGCTCTCAGTCGTGAAGCTGAAGAGTCCTTAGCTTGCTGATGGAGGGCAAAGTGATAGTCAAAGCAGGCCTTAACTGACTGGAGACTTCACCATTACCACCCAGGGGTAGAGCTATGATTAAAGCACAGGCTGACAGGGGCCTTCTATCTCCAGTCCCTTTTGATTTATCATTTTTGATCTTCGGCCACTATCCCAGCTGCCCAGATCCTTCAGCTTGCTGTGAATTAACATCAGCTTGGTCTCCCGCCTCCAGACCAGAAGGGCTCAAAGGCTGCCAGAGGTATGGGGTTAAAGGGCAGGTGTGGCTGAGGTGGCTACATGGGCTTTCCTGGGCAACTGAGATCGATGGAGGCCAGGTAAACATGGGAGCTCACTAGATATGGACTCTGATTGGGAGGGAAGGAGAAGGTGGGGCCTCCCAGGAAAGCCAGCTCAGGAGGGGATTGGCACCAGGACCAGCTGTAGGCCTTCAAGGGACACTGTCCCTTTGTATGCGTATCCTTAGAAAGTTGGGGAGAGACCCGGTGCCAGGAGGGGTCACTTGGGTGTAGGTGCCGAATGACTGGTTCCTGCAGGACCAGCCTGGCAGGAGCCACCCATAGTGGCCATCACCACCCCCTTTCCTCTGCCCTTTAAAGAGCTAAAGAGTCCAGAGCTCCCTGGGCCTGCAAGAGAATGGCATAGGCCACCCTCCATCTGGTTTTCTGTCCCTTTTGCCTGTTTGTTAATTCTCAGGGGGTAAACTGTATCTAGAAGCCTGTCATCTCTTCCCTCTCTCCACACAGCTGGCTACCCTGAGGCCACTACTGGTCTTCCTCCCAAGGAAGTGTCAAAGAGGAGGAGCCCAGACTGTCAAGGGAGCACTGTCCTCCATCGGCCCTCACCTCTGGAGGCACTCAGAGAATCAAATGACCAGGTCTACCAAGCACTCCATGCTCCTCTGGGGCTCCAGGGAAACACAAGGGAGTCATTTTTTATGAAGGAAAACTCTGTGTTTATTTGTTGGTCTTTTTAACCCAGGCAACAGCCCAAGCCCAAGTCCGTTAGAAAGGCGTGGGCACAAGCCAGCTAGGGTTATGGAAATTTTTGAAGGTGACTTGGAGGGTGCAGGCTACCCCAGGAATGAGAAAGCACAGCAGGGTGAGGTTCTGGTATTGGGATCTACTCAGAATATCATACTTCAAGCTCAGCACAAGAGAGCCAATGAGAGAGGCTAGTGGATATCCAGCCTCTGTCACTAAGGAGGAGAAGGAAGGGTTCCAGGCTGGAGAACCAGAGCCTAGGGGTACTCAGTCCCAGGGAAGAAGTCAGTGAAGCCTGAACCATAGAGAACTGTAACCATGGCACTCTGAGGAGTGGCCCCTGAATCATGTCCAAACAAATAAATGACAAATAAACGACAAATGAATGAACTTGAGATCATTGCAGCAAAAGCACCAGACAGGAAACCAAGTTTACCCAGACTTGCTAATTACAATAAAAAGTTAGCATTTGAGTCAATGTGGGGTTAAAAGCATGCAGTTCTTAATGTTCACTGTCAGATCTCATTCCCCTAACAGTCTCTGAAGTTGCTGGAACTATTAGCTTCAGGTTATAGAGGAGAAAGTGGGGCTCAGAGATGGGGAACAGTGCCCAGCATCCACACATACTCAGTTAATCCAGTCTTGAAGAGCTGGACCAATTTACCAAGATAATAAGTGACGAGGCTGGGTCTTGCTGTTTGACCTTAGGCAAACAATACCTCCTCTCTAAGCTTTAAATCTCCTGGAAGAGAGAATGACCCCTTCTCAATAGGGATATTGGAAGAGAGGGGAAAGATGAAAGAGATGTGTAAAAGGCAAGACAGATTGTTGTTTGCCAAGTCATAGGGTAGGTGGGCTCAGGGCAAACAAACCGCACATGTAAAGAACCCCAAAGGAGTTGGTAGGAGACAGACCTTATGGTCCCCGGGCCCCAGTCCACTAGCAGCTGTTGCAAGATGAAGGTGCTCTTGACAGCTGGAGAGGAAAGGAGTAAATGAAGCAATGAATGATGGGAAAGAGCAAGGGGCGGGGGCAAACCCAGGACCCAGACTGGGCCCACGATTTGAGTTATACCAAGGAAAGACTACTGGGAGAAGCATGCCTTATGGGTAAGAATGAAAGCCCGGACTGGCAGAATGAAACAAAATCAAGCAAAAAGAGAGGGCCCAGAGGAAACGGGCTGAAATTGCAGCACTAGACATGCAAGTTAGACTCAGACAAAAAATGTCCTGGAGGAGGTTAGCCACAAAAACATGCTACACAGAGCCCTCCTTTTTTCTATTACTTATAAAAGCATCAGGGCCAGCATGGTGGTACATGCCTGTGATCCCCAGAATTCAGGGTAGAGGCAGGAAGATGGTGAGCTCCAGGCCAGCCTGACTGCATAATGAAAGCCTGTCTCACAACAAAAACCCCAAAGGACAGCAGACCTGCCCCCACTGTGCACTGCTACCTCTCGTCTGGTTGCTTGGAATGGTTTGGTGACAGCAAAGATGACTTGCTCCCCTTCCCAGACCTTTGTCACCTCTGCAGTCCCAGATCTCCACAGACTGTCCACCTACTTTACCAGGCTGGGGCAGACTAGGGGCAGGGGCGGGAACTCACCATACCTCAGTGCCCTTGAACACACTCAGGCCTCCAGTCTTCAAAGGACTAGAAAGTGCTGGGCAGGTTACACTAAACCCTCTGTGGCTCTAGGAGGTACCTCTAGAAATGCTGCCCCACCCCCACACACATGCTGGGGTCCCAATCAGCCACCTTCCTTCCTTGATCAGCATAAGAGAACCCCAGCCCTGTTCCAGCCCACACCCACATACCAGCACCCACCCCTGCATACCCTGGTGCGATTCTGTCACGTCCCTGTGCGCACACATACCTGTGTGCATGGCCCCAAAGCCTGGATCCTCGCAGCCCTTCACACCCGGTGGGCAGCTGGACTCTGCAGTGGCAGCCCAGGCTTTCCCTGGCCCCTCCCTCCTTGCCCCAAGTCCAGGCAGTTTCCTCCTTCCAAGCCACCCCACCACCACCACCACCACCACCACCACCACCTGTGGCTTTTATTTCCAGATCTATCTACTCACCCTTCCCGCCTCTGAAGACTGTCTGCCCTCCCCCGCCAGGACAATGACCCGCCTCTTTCACCCACTACACGGGTCAACTCCCTGAGTCTGTGGACTGTCCTGCCACCCAGGCTCGTCCCTGAGCAACTCGATGGTGTGAATGGTGAAGAGGCTGGAAGAGGTTGGTGGCATCAGAGCATTCCTAAACCTTAAATTCCCTGTAGCCTCAGGGGACGGCATTTTCCTGCTTCCAGTCCAGATACACATTCTCTTCGGTCTTGCCTCTGCTCTGAGCCCTTAGCCCTCAGGGGTACAGACACTGTGACTCTAGGCTCAGCTGGTGCCCGCATGCTTCCAACTCACCTGGTCCCTCAGCTTGGCTCCGCTCCAGCAGTGCCAACAAGCCCTAGAAAAGTGAGTTGCTCCAGACCTGGAAGAGAAACGTTCACTGAACTCTCACTTTCAGCCCTCCTGCTCTTCCCTGCCACAGTCCTATTCAGTGAGACAGAGTCTGTGTGTGTACTAGAAAATGAAGGGACAGAAATACCACAAGCAACAGGAGGGATTGAAGCCCAAAGTCTATAAACCAGGATTACAACATCCACCCTCAGGAAGTCAGGCCCTCTGACCCTGTCCCCCTGTCTCCTCCAGCCCTCTCCCTTCCTGACCAGTGCCCTACCAGTGAGCACTGTCTAGGACAAGCCCTCTAGAGCCTGCTGAGCTGCTATCTCAGGCAGGAGAAGAGGTTCAGTCCTTCCTCCTTGACCTCCCTTCTCCTGTTTCTAGCCCCTTCCCCTGCCCCTTGCCCCCACCTCCACCCCAAGTACTGGCTCCTTCTTAGGCAAGGTACAGTCCTCCTTACCAGAGCAGAGGGATGGGAGCCACCAACTCCCAGGCTGGACACTGAGGACCTTGGGAGGGGAGCTGGCCTCAGTGACGAGGGTATGGGAGGAGGGTGAATCACACACTGGAGTTTTCCACCAAGTACCTGCCCTCTGTGGCTCCGCAGCAAAGCTCTAGACCTTCGCAGTCACTGCCTTCTTCTTGGGATTTTCCTAGAGAAAGCTCCAAAGCCTGCATATCTCGGGAAGGGGAATGCACATAAGATCCAGGGCATCGCCCACCCACTCTGACTTTCCCATACTCCCTTATCATGGTCTGTCAGCCGGTGAAGGCTCTGAGCCTCAGTTTCCTACTCTAGACAGGCGGGTAATATGTGCTTTTCAGGGTTACCATGAGGGTTAAAGACAACATAGTCATGCCTAGGAAATCACAAGTGCTTAAGAAGTGTTGTCACTGTGTGATTCGGGTTCAGATCTCAGCTTCTTCTTTACTGTGAGAGGCTCTGATTCTAGGTAGCCCTGAGCCACGGAACTAAGGTTCATCTGGAACAGCCTAGCAGCTGTCAGAAGTGAACACACGTGTTAAGCATGTGTGCCCTTGGCACAGAAGCCCGGGAGGTTTTTCCAGAAGGGGATTCTCTGAGCAATGCCCTCACAGCATGGATACAGGACAGTCTACACCCTTCATTCAGAAAAGCCATTGGCCACTGATAAGGCCAAGCTGCTGCCTCAGTGCCAGGTTGTATGGGGGTGGGGGGAGAGGAAGTTGTGGGGAGAAAGGGAAATTTCCCTTTGTGTGGACTTCCCCTTTGTCTGCTAGAACTTCCCAACAGCAGAGGGTATGAAGTAAGACTGACAATCTGTAATTTTCCATCAGCACCCCACTCACTATCCCTCAAGCCCCTCTTGCTTCTACCTCCCTGTTCCCCATCAAGGAAAACCAGAGTAAGTCTCAATTCTCAGCCCCCTTGCCTCTGCAAAACTGGAAACCAGGCTGGGGATCAGCTCTGGGGGAAGACATGGCTTGCCAAAACCCACACATTTGTCACCCCCATGCTCAACTGACATGGTAAAAGCCTGCACTACTGGCTCTGCGCTATCCCTGTACATTGGGCCTACTATGATGACCCTAGGGCTTCTTGCACTGGGGACACCAGAGTCCATGAAAAGAATACCCAGCCTTGCTAGCCTGACTCTCTCCCCAGTCTGCCCAGGGCGTAGAATCTGATTTTACCTAATCCTTCCCTGACTTTACTTGCCCACCTCAGGCCTTCATCTCTCTATCTTAATATTGGATCCCAACCTCCACATTTCCTCTTGTTATTCAGACCAATTGGAAAACTCAGGAAGCCAGCGATCTCATCTTTGCAAAAGCCTGGCAAGTATGATTCAGAGCTGAGATGAAAGAACTCTAAAATCTCACTACAGTAAGAATCACTGGGCACCACCATCTTCGAACCCCATACATGCTCCTAGGTACCTGGCATGAAGCTTATTTCCTGAAGCTCTGGCTCAGGCTGGGCATATACAAGTTGTTTCACATATTCTCCTTCGGAGCCTTGAAGTGTGGATGTGAAGAGCCTCTTTTACAGAAGAGAATACCAGGGTGAGTAGAGACTAAATGATTTGCCCAGTGACCATGCACAGTAAACAAAGAAGCCAGGATTTGAACCTGTGCCTTTGATCCTATCACATGCTCTTTCCCAGACCATGAACAGATAACAGGTAGGAATCTCATCTCATGATTCTTTGCTTCTTCTGCTTCTAGCATTTAAAACAGTGATGCTTCCGAGCAGGCACTTGGCCTTTATTGGATGGATGAGTGGATCCGCGGAAAGGGAGAGGAAGGGAAGGAGAGAGATTAATGACCCTAGTCGTCCCCTTTCTGGGAAGGCATGTGCTGCTCTCTCAGAACCAGAAGACTGAACATGACCTGAAGGGCTCCAACCTCCTTTTCCTGGACAACACTGCCCTGCTGAGCCAAGCGATTGGGCCACAGGTTATTTGGGGATACTTTTCCCTCACCTCCTAGCAAATTCACTTCACTTAAATTAGCATTCAATAGCCTCCTTCCTGGGACCTGATGCAGCCTAGGTTCCCAGGCTGGGAGGCTAGGGGCAGGACGCTGTCTCAGACTCCTTGGACTTTTCTGCTACGTAGCCAGCCACTGTAGAGGCACAGCCATGGTAATGGAAAGAGAGCAGCTGCCTCTGCTGGTTGTCTGGTGACACTCTGGGGTAAGTAGTAGTAGTATCCCAGTATTTTAGAGGAGGAAACCTAGGATCAGAGAGGTTAACTTGCACGTTAGTAAGTGTCAGAGTTAAGAATCAAGGACTGAAAGGCTCTACAGACAAGGCTGCCTGGGTGAGCTTGGCACGTTCATCCAAGGGTCACCAGAGGCTGTGTATGCACATGCTTGATCAGGTCTGAGCCCTAGGCTGTTGGGGCTTCCAGGTGGCCTAGTGGCCTCAATGCCTAGTCAGTGATGCTATAGGCACCTTCCCAGATGGATGTAGCTTCTTGTGTTTCTGTACTCAAATACCACCTATCCCAAGGCTTCCCTGCCTTCCTGCCTGCCTGCATTCTCTAAGAGTGCCCCTCCAAAACCCTGTCGTCTTCTTCTGGGAACTGCCGAATTCTGTCTCTACCCTTCCAGGTAGGGAAACAGTTCTCTTCCACCTCCATTCCATCTCTACCTCTGCCACCTGACCAAACCCATCAAGTTTCCTTCCACCCTCATTGGTTCCCCTCTCACAGAACTTTGCTCTGCTTGCCGTTATTTGTTAAGAAACTGTATCTGGTTTTGCTCATGCTATGTGATGAGCACAATCCTGCAAATATAGGTGTTCTAGAAACAGTCAGCTAGATGATGATTCCAGGTGGGCGGTATCCTGAGTTTTAGCATGCTGCACCTGCAGATTTGTTTCTCCATCAAAGGACTGTGACTGAGCCTGCACATTTGTGGAGGGGGGGGGTCCAACCAGTCACCTAGGAGAAACAGCCAAGGCCCACACACAGAGAGGCCCACTGTCCTTGGTTTCTAAGAACTCCTCCAACACAAAACAGAAACTTGAAGACTGACAAAGATTTCAGTATATTTCCCAAGACACTGACATGTCAAAAGCTAAGATACCACCAGGGGCCCTGAGCACCCTGCAGCTGAAAGTCACAGGATACCGGGCCAAGCCAAGCAATACCAGAGGAACCAGCTGAATCCAGGTTGGAGAAGCAGACAGATATGATATCTATTCTAGATATGGAGAGAAATGCATATTTCAATCACCTCCACAGCAGCAACCAAAGCCCCACCCACCCCTTAGAAGGAAGGTCCTGGGGACCTTGCGATCGAGCTCTAGACAACACGGAGACCTTCACCTGCCACCTGGCTCCTCTGCAAACCCAGCCCTAAGGGATCAAGTCTCACACCCATGGCTGAGGCTATGGCAATGCCACCCTCTGGTGGCCATATCTGGAAGTGACAGCGCCCAGTGTCCTAACCTCTTGCAGGCTGAGAGGTAAGCAGGGTCCCTCTGCTGGCAGAGCTCAGGCAGTGCTTCCTCTATTTATCTGGGCCTGCAAAAGCAAGGCTGGCAGCCCTCTCTCACCCTGCCTCAGGCCTGGGCTGCAGACACTGACATAGTATTGATCAGCAGGAACACAGCAAGAGACATGTGGGCAGGAGGAAGCTGCCATCAGCCTGTCCTCTTTCTTCCTGTAACCAGGACCTGTTCTCTTTCATCCTTCCCTCCATCTCCCTTCTTGTTTGTTTGACAGAGGGTTTTACTATACAGCACTGGCAGGCCTGGAACTTGCTACATAGACCAGGCTAACCTCCTTGAACTCAGAGAATCCATAGTCCTCTGCCTCTTGAGTGCTGGTCTTAAAGGCATTGCAACACTACGTCCAGCTTTCTATCACACTTTTTATCCCATATCCCATGGAGGTGGGGGTATATAAGGGAGGTGTGGAGTGGACCGGTGTGTGGGGGGGGGAAGCAACACAGACCACATGTATTGGGCAGTGAGAAAAGAGGTGTGACAGCTTTCTCCAGTCCAAATGTGTGATAGAGGACCTTGGCCTGGCCCACCTGACCCTCCTCCCCTGCCATGGAAATCACATCTATCTACTATGTGGTTCACAAGAACTCAGTGAGGAAGGCAAGCTGGAAGGACACAGAACCTTATAGATATAACTTCACAGTGAGGAGGGGGCCAAGGCACTAACAGAGGGCAGAAACCAGGCATATCAGAGCACAGTTGTGGGAGGAAGATGGATTTAATGGCACAGAGGGAGGAGGGCCCAGCAGCCAGCCAGATTTTCACCTCTCTAGCTCTCACTGGGCTTTCCAAGCTGCCTCAAAGGGGTTTTCTTGATATGGGCATGTAGCAGGTGTTTGGACCACCCCTGAAATAGGGGAGTCAGGGTTGGAAGCACCCAACTCAGAAGGTGGATTCCAAAATATCCACCTTTGTCTTATACGCCCCAGGTGAGGGGCAGAGGGCACAGAGAGCTGTTTCTGCTCTCTGCCCCTACAACTGTTCCCATAGCCAGGCTCACAGGCATGTCCAAGGCCTTGCCCCCTAGCAGCTAGACTCTAGTTCTGTGAGTCTGAGGAGGGATGCCGTAGGTGTGGCAGGAGCAGGAGGTCCTGGTTGGTTCTTCCAGGGCAGATCTTCAGCTGGGCACATGAGCTGGCGGAGTCTCTGTAAGGACAGTGGGGGTACCTGTCATGGTGAAGCAGGGGCCCACCAGCCAGTGTCCATCATCATCAATGTCTGTCTGCCTTTCCCTATGCAAGCCTACCTCTGGCTGCCAGCCCCACAGTCACAGCTTGCATCGTGCAGTTACCCCAGGTCCTTTTCTGAGACTTCCAAGCATTCCTTCTCTGGCTCCCTAGTACCCATACCAGGCGGGGTATCACCTTTGTGCCCCAGCTCCCATAGTAGACAGCCCACCTGTCATCCAGGGTCTACTCATCCAGTAAAGTTCCCACCCTTCATAGCTTTCCTCCTACCTCTTTAAGTGGGCCCTTGAGGGTCTTGAGCTTGTAGAAGCTCCAGGCAGGAATGCAGACCATAGAGGACAGAGCTAGGAGCCAGCCCAGGGCATCCCCCCACCACGGGTACGTGTACTTCTTATTGTAGGTCAGTGGAGTATACTTGATCAGAGAGAACAGGAAGGTGGCCTGGGGTAAGAACAGAAGAGAAAGAAGTTAGTGGGGCAGGAGGGGTGGGGCTGTGACTTCAGCACCCCCATCCCACCCTAGAGCTTCCTGATGAAGACTTGTCCTCCCAATGGGCTGTGCCACTCCTCTGGGTCAATCAGGCCCCAAGCTCCCCCTATGCTCAGTTTAAAATCCACTCCCGGGTAGCTATTTCCAGAACACAGCCCCTGTCATTGCAGAGCCTTGGGTCCCTCTATTCATGGTTGACTATGGTTAAGCTCCCACTGTGTGCCTGCTGGCGGCTTTAGTGTGTCCCATCTCCTACACCAGGACTCAGCTGTGAAAACTCAGGTCCTGTTCTCTCTGCACTCCTCACTTGTACCTGACACATGGTGGAAGTTTCTGCAACCACTGACATAAACACAAAACCAGAAGAGGCAAGGTGGTGGTTTGAATGAGTGTCCCCCATGGGCTCCAAGTATCTGGACACTTGGTCTCTAATTTGCGATGCTGCTTGGGGAGGGTCAAAGAACCTTTAGGAGGCATAGCCATGAAGAAGAAGCAGATCGCTGGGGGCAGGCTTTGAGAGTTTTTAAGCCTTGCCAGATTTCTTGTCTCTCTGCTTCCTGTGCCTGTGATCCCTTGACTTTCTGCTCTGGCCACCTCTTCCACCATGCCTCCCCCACCATTATGGACTAACCCTCTGAACCGTAAGCTCAAATAAACTCTTCCTTCTATAGGCTGCCGTGGTGTTTTATCACAGCAACAGAAAACTATCTAATACAGGCAGGAACCCCTGTCTCTGCAGTCCCCTCGCTTCCTAAGTGCTTCACCTCTCAAGTTCGCTTAATCTGTAAAATGAGTGTGATGAGGGGCCAGAGAAATGGCTTGGCAGCTGCTCTTGCAGAGGAACTGGGTTCAGTTCCTGACGCCCACATGGTGGCTGTGCTGGATAGCTTTAGTGTCAACTTGACACACCTGGTTTGAGGGAGCCTCAATCGGGGAATTGCCTCTAATGGACTGGCCTGTGCCCATGTCCATGGGGCACCTTCTTGATTGCTGAGTGATGTGGGAGGGCCCAGCCCACTGTGGGTGGTGCCACCCCTGGGCAGGTGGGCCTGTGTTGCATAAGAAAGCAGGCTGAGCAGGGGCCAGGGGAGCAAGCCAGTAAGCAGCGGTCCTCCATGGCCTGTGCTCCAGCTCCTGCTTCCAGGTTCCTGCCCTGAGTTCCTGCCTTGGGCTCCCTGATGAACTGCGACCTGGGAGATGTAAGCTGAATAAACCCTTTCCTCCCCAAGTTGGAATTGGTCAGAGTATTTTGTCACAGCAATGAAGAACAAACTAGGACAGTGGCTAACACTCATTTGTAGCTCCAGTTCCAAGGGATCCAACACCCTCTCTGGCCTTCGATGGTATCAAGCATGCATGTGGTACACACACATACATTCAGGTGAAACATTCATATACATAAAATAAAAATAAATACTTTTTAAATTAGTATGGCAGTGACACTTATCCCTTGAGATGCTGAAACAGTGACTATGTGTCAAGCACTCTGAACCAGCCGGTTGTGACTGCTGTGCTTACCAGTATAATTCTGAGCAGTCCAGTATTGGGTACCAGCCTTACCTAGCCCAGTATTGGGTACCACCCTTACCTAGGACATCAGTCTCACACTGGGCTCTTAGTCAACCCATCTGACAGCCCTGGGCCTGTTTATTCCTCTATGACATGGAAAGGTAGACTCTGTCTCATTTAAGCCCCAGTGAGGGGATATATGAAAATCTAAGATGATTTTCAACTCCATTCTAGAGGAATTCATTCTAAAGCTAAGGGCTTGATGCTGCATCTCTCTCTCTCTCTCTCTCTCTCTCTCTCTCTCTCTCTCTCTCTCTCTTTCTCTCTCCCCTCCTCCCTCCCCCCTTCTGCCTTTACCCCTGCAGGGTTCCCTTACCGTGCACACAGCTGGGGTAAAAAAGAGCCAGCAATATTTGATAAGAGGCCATGGCTTGTACCCAATCATATCCTCAACGTTGTCATAGAAGCGCCTGGCTCCTGCCATGGAGAAGAGACAGAAGTGGGACAGAAGACAGAAGACACACTTCAGGCTATGGGGGTCAGGATGGGACCAAGCAAACTAGGATAGGAAAGGACAAATAAGCAAGAGAGGTCATGACAGTCTTCTGAAAGCATAGCTAGAGGAAGCACCTGGCTAAGAGCCACTGGCATAAACATCACAGGAAAGGAAAAAACAGCAATGCTGTCAAAGGGTTCAGATAGGACAAGATGTTTGTTGGACCCCAGGGTAGTCTAAGTGCAGCTGTGATAGGGAAAAGTGGATGTGAGCAGCAGGTGTCTCCTTTTGTCTGAGAATGCTGGGATGGAGGAGCATGCCAGGGTCTGAGCCCAGGGGTGAATCCACTCACCATAAACCCAGCCCACACAGAGGGACTCAAAGATGGCCACGAAGAGGAGACACATGCCACTGGCTGCGTAGTAGTCGAAGAGTTGAAACACATACATGCCACCCTGCATGGGAGATTATTGGGAAGAAGCAGATGGGCTGACCCCTGTGCCCCACAGCCTAATGGGGCAGAGGTGGCAAGGACCACAGGAGGTGATCTAAGGTGGGAACACGGAAGCCGTAAAGCCCTGAGCAGATATGGACAGTAGCTGCATTTTATCACCACTTTTGGATGGAAGACGGGTGAATCAGACAGCTGTTATTAAGATGTCCCTGAGAATATTTAGGGGGGGGGACCCAGAAGCTTGAGTAGTCTTTGGGGGAAGGATTAGGATGCGTTGTCACTGAGCATCTCAAATTTGTAAGCTCTATCAACTCTTTTCCATTATGACACCAACAGAGAGCCACCCATATCCAGGTCCCCCTCTCCCTTGAGGTCATTCCTGGGAAAGCACAGGATCTCACCAGAGAGCTAGTTTTTCCCATTCCAAGGCCTTCCACTCATTCTTTCCATGTGTTCTCAGTTACCCTGGAGTCAAATTACCCAACTACCAGCCATTCTATGGGAGTCGAAGCCGGGAGTCCAAAGCCCAGATGATCCAGAACGCCTGCCCTGTGGTCCCACCCAGCAGATGGCAGTTGTCTGCCTGGCTCCTCCTCCTCAGGGCCCCTTCCAGACTCCCAGACTCTCACCTCTGTGAGCATGACCAGGCCAATGAGGAAGGAGATGACAGACACTACAAGAATGAGGATCTCCCTCCGGTTCTTCTTACGGAACTTCCGGGGATACATGTCCACAAGCGCTGTCACCAGGCTCTCTACGCACACAAACTGGATGAGAAGGCAAGAGAAAGCAGGGGGGGGAGAGCTCCCACAACAGGCCCTGTCAGCCAGCACCAACTTCCTGCTCCAGAGTTAGCCAGCAGCCACCCTGTCCAGCCCCAAGAGTGGTTATCTTTGCATATGGGTCTGAGCTGATGAGCTGACCCCACCCTGAAAGCTCTTCTGGGTCCCTGGGAGGGTATCCACTTCTGACATTCACTGGGTTCCCAACTATTTAAGGTCTCACGGGGCCTAAGGCTCACCTGTTGCCCTCCACTCTCCTGACCACCCACTCATCCCTCAGGCTTGAGCGGGCCATCTCTGATACCTGGCTATCTAGTCCCAGGAGAACGACCATGAAGAAGAAACAGCAGGCCCACAGAGGTGAGAAGGGCAACATCACCACAGCTCGAGGGTAGGCGATGAAAGCCAGGCCAGGGCCTATGGCAGGAGTAGAGGAACACAGCCTGAGACAGCTCCAAGCCTCTGCAACCCCAGGGCCTCCCAGGATGGGGCCATGAAATAACAGAGCTAGAAGAAACTTCCCCAAAGTTACCACCACCACCACCATCTTGACACAAGACGAGCCACCCAAACCCCTTCTAATGGTCCCCAGTCTGCAAGTCATCACTCACTCCGTCTTCACTGGCAAGCGCAGACCTAGAGGTCCTACCAATAAAGGAACTTGTGTTTAAAAGGGGTTCTGAGCCTCCAGCTCTAAACCAGAACTCTAAAGCTAAGAATGAGTTCTGAGGGCAGCAGGTCAAACAAATCTGGAAGCCCGCCTGAGGGAAAGCAAGAGGAAGTGGTGGGGGAGCTGGGGAAAGGCAGTGGCTTCGCTGTGCTGACAACTGTAGCAAAGGAAACTCCTCTGGGCCTGGATTTGGTCTAGGCCTACAGTTTACCATGGTTGTCCTTAAAGCCTTTTCTGACCCTACCATGAGTGATCAGTTTTAGAACACCATTGATTGCCACAGTACCTCTCAAATCAATGCTCCTCTCCACCAACTGACAAGAAGAGGTTCACCTGCTGAAGCCTAATTAAACCATAGGAAGCCTCCTCTAAAAGGTCAAGGGCACCCAGTTCCCACAGTAGTGCAGCGGAGACAGAGGTGGTACAAGTTTCACATGGTTTACACCAAATGGTACAGACTGAAGGCTTCAAATAGTATGTGCCAAATATAGGATGAGGCTCCTTTATCCAAAATGCTTTGGACTTTTTTGGAGTTGGAAATATTTACCAAACTTACTAGTTAGGCTTCCTCTACTTTGAAGTTCTGAAATACTCCCAAATTAGAAACTTTTTGAGCATCCCTTCTGGGTCCTGACTGGCAAAAGTGCAAACCAGGCTTACAGAAACTACTGCCCTCAGCCCTCCCCAGTGTACCTACCCGACTCAGCAACCTCAGATATGGGCACACCCTGCTCCTGAGACATGAAACCCAGGATGGAAAAGATGGCAAACCCCGCCACGAAGCTGGTGCCGCTGTTGAGGAAGCAGAGGGCGATGCAGTCCCTGTAGGGGTACAGGTGGGAGAAGGAGGCAACCAGCTGGGTCAGAAAAGAGCTGCCCTAAAGCCTGGCCTTCCTGTGAGGGAGCTAACAGGAACCCCAGGGAGCACAGCCTCTCCCACAGTTGCGGAGGCCAAGGGTGCGGCTGCCTGGCAGAATTCACACTGTTCAAATAGTGTGAATTCTAGCTCTGGACTCCAGCTTTTACCCCCTACTAGCCCAGATATGAAATAAACTAAGGTGGTCCTGAAAGAATAATGCCATTAGTAAAACTCATCTAAACATCTGCGGCCACTCTGTCACCTCCATCCTGCCGTATCTCTACTATACTTCTGGGGAACCTACCACTTCTAAGATGAGTCCACTTGCCTTGGGCTCCAATAATCCCAAACAATAAATAATTCTTAAACACCCCAATTTGGTCTTGAAATGCACAACAGACAGCTAATATTAAAGCCAGCTTAAATTCTCTGAGTATGAATCCGGTAGGCAGGAGAAAGGGAACATAAAATAAAGGGGCACCTCTGGAAGGTGTGTGGGCAGGGAATTCATCATCTGCCAGGTAGAGTCCCCAACACTGAGCTGCCAATACGCATTAATAATTGCTTTCCAGGCTTGCTGGCCTAACTCTCCTGTACCTATGAACCTTTCATAAAGACACCTTTCATAGACACCCAGACAGGCTGGGTGCTGCATGTGGTCTTCCAGCCAATCACAACTATTCCACCCTTTAAGAAGCAATCCTCTCCCCATCCTAGAGTCTGCTATGATGTCCCCATAGCCTTAGGGTACTAAGATGTGGTGCAGATGGAGCAGGTTCATGTGTTAGTATAGCTCACCCTGATCTAGCTTGGCTAGAGGGGCAAGAGACTCACCTGTAGCAGTTGTTGTGATACTTGTTGTAGCTGCCCAGGGCCGTGAGACACCCCAGACAGATGGCAAAGGAGAAGAAGATCTGGGTGCCTGCATCCATCCACACCTACACAAGGAAAAGGAGGAAACTGAACTACAGGAAGGCCCGGGCATCTGAATCTCCGTGGAAGGAGACTGGTATAGCCAGGCCCTAGCTAGGAACGGTGGTAGACCTGTCCCCAGCCCGACAGGGAGCCCTGGGCCACTGCTCACCTGGTGGCTCTCCTCCCTGGCCCCTACATGGAACCTCTTGGATACCATCAGGACAGAGCAGATGTTAGGCATTCAAAAAGGCTAAAGAGGGCATAGTGGAGGGGGTGAGAGAGGGTTCTAATGCAAAGGTAGGTCTGGTATTGAGTAGTCAGTCACAGGTATAAAACCTTTGGTTCTGCCCCATGTCCTTCTATCTCAAGGTTCATGGCAGTATGACCAATGGAAAGGCATTTTTAGGGATGTGGAGTCCTTAATATCAAAGCCATCTCATGCTTATAGCTTTGTTCCAGAGCCCTCTCTGTGTCTGAAAAGCAGATTAAGTAGTCCTTCACTTATAAAATGTCCAGAGGATAAATGGGAAGCATCTGGGAAGCAGGAAATCTCCCTCCCTCCCTGCTATGCTAGGAGTCACTATCACTGTTATCTCAGCTGCCTGACCCGGCCTTGCATCTTGTGGTTTAGAGCTAACAGCTAGAAAAATATCTCAAAGAGAAGATCAAGGCACAAGACTAAGCCACCCTGCAGGGCTTCAGGAGGTGGGCTCTGGGGGGCTATAGCCCTCTCGTCTCCCATTATTTCCTTCCACTGATAACAGCCTTCAATCCACCCCTCCCCCTGTCCTGCACCAAACCATCCTCAGTCCCTCTTGTCTTTCCCTGCCTCCTTAATCATAAGCACCATAACCACCACCCTCAGTCCCAACAGCCCCTGGAAAATTCTTATCACGCTCAGCCTTACTCAAGTGCCCATCTTCCGTTGCATGGTCAGGTCTAGGGGAGCCACAGGCAGGTTACCATCTCAGAATCACACCAGCTTCTCAGCCAGCATCCCTAGCTGAGACTCTGAGTCTCAAATGCTGGAGGAGAACCCAGAACTCGCACCGTTTTCAAAGCTCCCTGGTGATCCTAACAAACAGACACAGGATTACTGTCATATGACCTTTGAGAACTGGCATCAGGTACAGGCCACTTATCTTCCTCATTATATTCCCGTCTCTACAAGCATGGGGACCAAATGGAGAGATCGTGGGGGAGAAGGGGGAAAGTCTGTAGCCTTCTGTCCCTTCTGCTCACTGAGAAGCCCTTCTAGGGAAATCCAACAAGAACAGGAATCATAGAGGAGGATCAAGGGGGCCAGAGCTCACCAAGCAACAGTACAGGAATTGGAAGGCACTGGGTAGTCTTTATAACCATGAGGGAAAATTGCAATGGAGAAAATCAATAGGACTGAGGATCTGTGCCACCAGCTAGACAAGGAGAGGGCAGGATTTAAAAACAGATCCCCAAGGACAGATGAGATTTTGAGATTCAGAGATGCCACATATGTATGGCTCTTTCTTCAAGAGGGTTCAAATCTTCTGCTCTCCTACAACTGTGCCCCAGTGATCTCAAGGAAACACAGTGACCTCTGGGACTGTTCTGTCTTATTACTCTGTAGGTTCTAAGCCACTTCAAAAGTGGTACTTTCAGCCAACATCATGAACCTGAACAGAGTGGGTTTCTCTAGGGCTGGAGATGTGAAGGGCTGAGATTCTAGTAGAGCTGTCAAGATGCCAGGTGTTCTCTCTCTCTCCCAAATAGGCCATCTGGGCCTTGCCCATACAGCCTGTAAGCCTCTCCACCTTGAACTTTTACCCCATGCCTCACAGTGCATTGTCCCCAGGTTACAAGGACACTCCTATGTGCCCGCAGAGACAGTGTGATGGCCCCCATGCAGGCAGTGGCTCCATCCTGTGACCATGCATATTTGTAAACTTGGATTTGGGAAGAAATCATAGTAAAAACATGACTTGGCTATTTGCCTCACCCAGCAGAGGTTGGGGATAGGGGAGTAGACTGGGCAGTGTCAAGAGAGAGGTTAAGGAGAACAGAGAAGCCTGCCACAGGAGGGCCAGAGGCCGTAGCTCAAGGGTCAAGTATGGCTTTTGACAAAAGCCCTCTAGCTGTGAGTTTGGCATGCCAAGCGTTCTGTGCAGCTGCAGCACATCAAGCCTGCTGGGGTAGGGGAATGGAACAGGGGGAAGGTCAGGGGGAGGCTGCAGGAACACACAGAGCAAGCTGTTCTGTTCCCATAACAGGCACCCCACTTGCTGTTCATTCCAGACACCCTGGGTTCCAGAACAAAACTCTGATGTATCTTGAACTGGGGCAGAAGACGACCCAGAAAAAATGAAGGAAAACCCTTGGTGGAGTATAGGTAAAAAAGAGATCTTTGAGGGGAGAGAGAAAGAGCGAGACCTTAGAAGATCCAGAAATAATGCTTTCAATGGTAAGTCCAACCCTCAGGTTTGTGAGTAATTTGTCTGCCATTCTTAGAAAGGCAATGGTGTATAATGGATGATCGTAGTCAAATGATCTAGGCTCCAGTCCTGCCTCTATTCATGACTGACTGATCTTAGACAAGTCATTTAACCTCTCTGTTCTCTGATCTTAGGCAATCATTTAACCTTCCTGTTCTCATCAGAAAAAGTAGTACAATCAAAATAATTTATGCAAAACGCCAAACGTGAATAAATATTCTAGCTTTGAATAATAAAAAGCAGGCCTTAGACCTCTCAAATAATTCACAGGATTTGAGCTGGACATGATGGTACATGCTTTATAATCCCAGCATTTGGGAGGTGGAAGCAGAAGAATCAGGAGTTCAAGGTCATCCTTGATTACAAAGCAAGTTCCAGCCAGCCTGGGCAACAGGAGACCCTGTCTCAAAAAATAAAAAAATAAATAAAAATTAAAAAATGTTTTAAAACATAGATTTTGGAAAAGATCAAACAGCAACCCCCAATGAGTACCCAGGACCAAACCCACCCTTGTCACATGTTAATTTCTGCTTCTCTACAAGTCTTTTCCTTTTTCTAAGAAGCTTCCTTGTTTCCATCTGTAAAATGAGGCCAACACCTGACTCAGGGCTCCTTTCAAGCCTGTTGGGCACTCAGCCTGGTGCCTGGTGGGTGATGAGTGTATTGCTGCTGCTATTGTTTTAAAAAAAATTACTCATTTTTCACTGATAATAAGGTGACATGGCTGTCACTGGATTACACCAAAATAAAAAACCAGTTTTGATCCATGGTTACAACACACCCCCCACTCCATCATTATAGTTGCAACATGGGGCGGGGGCCGGTAAAAGTCTGCAGGGCTCTTGGGACAGCTTACTCTCACTCCTGCCCTTATTCATCTACCAAAGTTCAGTAGAACAAGAGGTCAAGATGAGGGAAAGAGACACGTGGCCTGAGTAGAGCAGGTGTTGTGTTCCTAAGAGCCAGTCCCCAGCATGAGCCCCGGAGCCTGGGAAAGGCAGGAACCCAGCCAGCACTCAGCACGCCTGACAGAGAGGTGGAAATGAGAGAGGAACCCAGCAGTCTCCACTGGCTTTTGGCCTGGGCTCCTGGCAGGAGAGATGCCTTCAATCTTTGTACTGCCTAGTGGGGATTCTGTACCTTCCTCAAGTGCCAGGCAAACACCAGTTGGAATGATCACACTTCAAGGAGTGCCAACTAGATTCAATTAGGGCCTAGCAGGGTGTCCCACCCTGCAGGTGCTGTTCAGTGCATGGTGACAAGGCCTACCTTTGGCATAGGAATGGAACAAGGCTGCTTTTGAAATGACTCCCTGCCCACAGTCACAAAGCCTGTGGAACATACATGCTCTCTACACACCTACAGTCGCCTGGGGTTAGAGGGATGGCAACAGAGGAGCAGCTTTCAATAAGCCTTACTCTCCAAGGTAACCCAGACATGGCTTCATGAACTCTCAGAGTCGAAGGGCTGCCTGGCCCACACTCCTGTCTGCTGGAAGTTATTTTATACCAAACCAAACATTGCACCCAAAAAGGCCTGGCACAGAATGCAGCTCAACATTTCTTTGCTGAGTGAGCTGTGCAAGAATCAAGGATGAACAGATCTTGCCTTCAAGAGGAGATCAGAAAGGGTGTGGGGTTTGTCACCATCCCAATCAGCTTCCAGTTGGAGGTGTCTTCCAAGATAGAAGATTCCTAAATCTCTCAAGTGAGGTAGAGAGCTTGCCTAGCATGGATGAAGCCCTGGACTTAGTCCCCAGTACAAAATCTTTAAGGTCTCAAGGCCTCAATTTCTTTACATATAAAGTGGAAATAACATTAATATGCTGTGAGGATGAGCTGAAATAAAAAACATTAATTTCTTGGAGCTAGAGATGGGTCAGCAGTTAAAAGCACTGGCTGCTCTTGCAGAGGACCTGGGTTCGGTTCCCAGCACCCACACGGTGGCTAACAGCCATTCTAACTCCAATTCCAGGCAGTCTGATGCCCTCTTCTGACTTCCATGAACATTGCATAACACAGGTACACTTACATACATGCAGGCAAAACACTCAAGCACATTAAAATAATAAAATATTTTAAAAAATAAATTTCTTAATGGTACCAGGGATGTAACAGTGGCTCACTATAAACAGCTGATCAGGGCAAAGCCACAATACCAGGCTTCTCTCTCGTTTTGTCTTTCAGCTGACCAGCCTAACTTTTCTTCTTACTGCCGGTCCTACCTGCAGTAAAGCCGAGCTTGCACTGCAGGTCCACTCCTCTGCCACTTCAGAACCTCAAGGGCTCCCTCCTGCATGGTGGATCTAAGATAGATGTCCCCCGGCCTTTCAGGCTTCCTCACACTGCTGCCCTAGCATCCTTCTGCTTGGTGCCCAGTCTCCATCACTAACATTTGGTTTCAGGTAAGGTCAAAGAGTTTCTGATGCATGAAAGAAAAATAACACTCAAGTACTGTGTGTGCCCTGGGACCACAGTCTGCTCATCTGTGCAGTAAGGAGGTTTTACTAGCTAAGCTCCAGGGTTCTGGAAGCTTCAGCAGCTCTGCTCCTATGTTTTGGCTCTACAGTCTGCCTGAGCCCTGGAGTCCCATGTGGCAAGGGTATGGTAACCTGTATCTCTGTGGTATGGGAGAAACTAGAGAGGGGAAGAAAAAGCTCGCATACCACAGGAAGACTCGGGACCAAGCTGCTTGAGTCGGGGAGATCCCTGACCAGGGCTGGCCTGGCTTCTTCTAAGAGGCATGGCTGTCCCAGGAAAAGACTCAACTTCTCCAGGTGAAGCTAAAGACTTGGGAATGGTTCGGCTTCTGGTTCAACCCAAATTCTGCCCAAACAGGAATTGTTGCCTCAGGTCAGGGGAACTCTGAGCACTGTGTCCATCCCTAGCCTTGCTCTCTTCCAGAAACTTCTGAGACAGTGTTGGTGCCTTGCTATTTTCAGCCACTTGAAAGGCCAGCCAATAGTTGTTGGGGTTTTTTTGTTTTTGTTTTGTTTTTTGAGGGGCGTGGTCTCATTACGTAGACCCAAGATAGCCTTAAATTCCCTATGACATAATCCAGACAGTTCTTGAACTCTTGATCCTCCAGTGCTGGGATTACAAGTGTGTGCCATGCCCAGCTCCATTCAACAGTCTTTTAGATGATGGGAGCCACCTGCCCTCATGTCTTTTGGGGATCCTTGAACTGATACAGAAAGCCCCCAACAACCAAAAGGACCATCTCTGACTTATACACCTGTTCCCCCATCCATGCCCAAAAGGCACAGTCAGTGCATGACACTAGGTCACAGTCTCCAGGTCCCTGCCTGTTTGGCCAGACTTCAAAATGGCTGCCAGGGAGAAGCAAGGAGGACACCTGTCACAGGCAGGGGCTGCCCACACGGGCTGTTCCCTTCTCCCTCCCTGTGCAAAGCAGGACCCCCTCTTTGGACACTGTGAAGTCACAGAGGGAGGACTGTGAAAAGAGACAACTGACAGGAAACTTGACTCCATCCCAGCTGCTGTGGGAGGAGCCAGAAGCAGAGACTGAAGGGTTGGATCACAAGGCCAGAGAGAGGGCACCACAGGGCAGAGGCAGGCAGCAGTTTGAGGGGCAGAGAGAGAAGCAGCTCAGGAGGAAACATGGAATTTGAGAATGAAGAAAATGGGTAGACGGAAGAGAAGGGGACACTGCCTGCCAGCAAAGGTGTGTAGTGAGGTATTTGTCATGCCCAAGAATTACGGCCAGGGCCCCAAACCCCCTGGGTAGCTGTGGACCAAGAAGGGACTGTGTCGGGCACCTCATCACAAACAGTTGCTAGCAGATACCTGCAGAAGGGTGCACCCCTCATCACTACCACTGACCACCCACTACCACCTCCACAGGTGCCCCTGGGACCATTGGAAGGCTGGGATACCCCATGTACCTCAAGCACCTCCAGAGCCACGTGGTAGCCCTGTCATGGCCTCTTACCTGGGGATCCCATAGACGTGTGATGTTGGGGTACAGGTAAAATTGAATTCCTTGGGCTGCTCCAGGCAGCGTGACTCCTCGAATTAACAGGACCACCAACATGAGGTAGGGGAAAGTGGCAGTAAAGTACACCACCTGGTCAAGGTAGAGGAGAGGCAAGGAATGAATAAGGAAATGAGGAGCACCCCAGAGTTCCCGCAGGGAAAGATGCCCCACCTCACAGAGAAGGTCAGCAGTTCCCTTCCTGATCCTCCCTCACCCACACCCCCACAGCTGTTCAGTTCCATTGCCAGGCCTTGGGCCACTACTCAACTCTCCTGCCCAGCCCCCGCCCCATGCTATTCAATATTTGTGGAGTGACTAGGTGAACAGAAGCATTTGCCAACACAAGTGCTTAGAACTAGAGCAAGGATGTCTGGTATGCAAAGATCTACTGCACATGTGATCCCTTCCTCACAGAGGCAGTCAGATTAGAAAAAAAAAAAAAAAACTTTGTGAGAGGCCTCCAGGACAGCAGGAGTCCAGAAGGACTTGGGACACCCTGACCCCCAACACCTCATATTCTCTAGGGCAAAGAAAGTCAAAATTCTTGAATCATTTTGAGGTGTGTGGTCTAATGGCATTCTCTATTTACTGAACTGTGTGTTTCATGAAATTGGGAATCATGGGCTCTGTTCAGTTTGTAGGATGTTCATGCACACTATAAATTCCAAACTGGAGTTTCTCTGGAATGTTCTTGCTCCCATTTATCTCCTAGAAGTACAAAGATGGAACCCAGGAGAGACATAGAACCAAGAAAGGGAGCCACATAAACTATTTACCTAATCATTCCCTCTTGTCCTGACTAGGCTAAACAGAGCACCTGGGAAGGCGGACTGTCCTAGGATGGGAAGGAACAGGAGCTTTCCAAGCACAGACCTTGCCCGTGGACTTGACCCCTTTCCAGATGCAGAAGTAGCAGATGACCCAGGCGAGCAGAAGGCACAGGACCAATTCCCAGCGCAGGGACCCCAGATGCTGGATGCCATCTGAGATTTTCAGGACCCGCCTCCTAGGAGAGAAGGATGTAGCCTAGACACTTTCTTGCAGTTTTTTTCCCTTCTTTCCTTCCTTCCTCCTTTCCATCCTTCTTTCCTTCCTTCCTTCCTTCCTTCCTTCCTTCCTTCCTTCCTTCCTTTCCTCCCTCCTTTCCTCCTTTTCTTCCCTGCAAATCCAGGGCCACAAACAAGCTAGGCAATCACCCCAGCCTTCTGGGTACATGTATGGGCAGGAAAGCCACACCTCCAAGCTCTAAAGGGCTTATGAGGGCTTTGTGCTGGGGCTTACAAGGCTCCCCTTTGCACAGAGACAGAGATAAACCTAAAGTGTAGGAAACATATATTGTGTCCAGGTCAGTTTGCTTGGAGTATTCACTAAGCGCAAGGAAGGAGGTGCAAACATAAACTTTCTCAACCAAGTTTATCAGTAAGATACCAGGGATCAAATAGTATTTGGGAGTAGGGTCCAGATAAAATGCAGCACCTGTAACTGGAGAGGAGGGTGGTTAGAAGGGTGGGGACACGGACATTCTCTAACATGAGAATTACAAAGTTCATCTAAGAAGAGTCCTGTATTAACCGCAGTACAGGTACCACAGAACTAAGACACATAGATGCTTTCCTGGGAGCCCCACTCCAGGCTGTTCTTTGGAATACACAGTCACATTCAGATGGTGAAAAGGGCCTCACTTACTCCCAGAACTCGATAACAGGTGAGGTGGCATTTTCAGAGGTCACATTCAGGGAACCATTGGTCTTCTGGAACTCCACGCAGTTCTCTACCCATGAGTCCCAGGGAAAGAAGAAAGAGAAATCTCATCAGTCAACATTTGGCATGACCACAGAGGACAGGGTCAGCATGAGGTGGTTGGAAGACCCTGGGCTGGAATCCTGTGAACAAAGCATCCTCTGCCGTGGAGTGGCCTCCAGCAGCCTACCTCACCTCTCCCATACACTTCCACTGGGGTGTTTGTAGACAGATTCTCGTTAAAGCCTGGTCAGGTCTCACTAGGAAAGAGGCTCTGTGTGCCAGGTAATATGATAGAAACTGTTCCTAGGAAACTGTTGCAGGTGAAGTCACAACCTTGGAGAGGTGGTAAGAATGGCTTATAAGGAAGTCACAAAGCAAAGTGACAAGAGCACAGATAGAGGGACGAGGTCAAAGAGGCTCAAATCCTGATGTTCTGAATGTCAGTTTTGTGGCCTTAGATAATGACAGTCTGGCATTCCAAGCATCACTTCCCTGATCTCAAAAATGTAAATATGAATACCCATCATGTAAGACTAATAGACAGGAAATGAAAACATGAACATGAGGGCCTGGAGAGATGGCTCAGTGGTGAAGAGTACTGGCTGCTCTTACAGAGGACGAGGTTTGAATCCCAGCACCCACATGGTAGCTAACAACTGTCTATAACTCCAGTTCCAGGGGATCCAATGTCCTCTTCTGACCTCCATGAGCCCTTGCACAACACATGTGTACTTACATACATACATGCAGGCAACACACTCATACACATAAAAAATAAAATAGAAAATAAATTTTTAAATGTTTTAAAATTTTTAAATATGAATGTAAAGCAATAAATGGAAGCTCTTCATTTCCTGCATATCACTTTGGGGTTTTATATAGTGTTGATATTCTTTTTAACATTTTATCAGCATAATAATCTTAGAAAATATAAAGACAGATTTTGTTGGAGCTAGCAAGATGGCTCAGTGGGTAAAGGTGCTTATTGCCAAGCCTGATGACCTGAGTTCAAACCCTTAACCCACATAGTGAGAGAACTGAAGCCTGCAAGTTGTCCTCTGACCTCTATACCTGTGCAATAGCACACACACACTCATACAGATACACACACAAAACAAGCAAATAAATGAATAAATAAATAACTGTAGACATTTTTTTAAAAGATAAATACTGGTTTCCTCATTGTACATATGGAAAAAAAATGAATCTTTCTAGAAGCGATCATCACAGCTCATAAATGACCAAGTGTAGACTGGAATCCAGGTCAGCAAACTGTCTACTTTGTGCCCCTAAGTTTCCAGGTGCACATCAAGGGCTTTTGCACTCACTGTCCCACCACTGTAGTGCCCACTTCCTGTGCTAGTTAGTTTTTCTCAACTTGACACACACTAGAGAAACTTGAGAAAAGGGAACCTCAGTTAAGGAATTTCCTTCATTGACTTGGCCTGTGGCCATGTCTGTGTGTCTGTTTCCTAATTGGTAATTGAAGCAAAAGGGCCCAGCCCACCGTGGGTGGTGTTGTCCCTAGGCAGGTGACCTGAGCTATATATGTATTTCCCCCATAACTCTTCTACAGCATAATGTGTACTACTTTCTTCTGTATTTCCTATCTGTGTTGTACACTGTCTGCCTCCCTCCACTCAATGACAGGTCCAGAAGGGTGAGACTTTTTACTTTTGTGCACTATCAGTCCCACGGCTTAGACCAGAGCCTGACAGTAGGCACTCAACAAATGCCTGGGGATTGAATGCTGGTGGAGCTATGCTGCTTTCCTTGAAGAAAAGTGTTATTTTATCAGGACAGGACATGATGACATGCTATTCAAGTTGCCAAGGTTTACATAAATCAGATCCCCAAAGAGAAGTATCAAAAATGTCTAGAAAAGAAAAACTAGAATCATCACTCTGCAATCAAGCCAGGAGTAAACAGGCTAACAGCTCTGAAAACAAAAGCCCCAGCTTTGCAGCAGAACTCCCTGAGGTTTATTTCTAGGCTCTGTTGTTCACTGCTGGACAAGCTGGTTGTTAAGGGTGATTCAGTACACACGGGTATAAGAGAAAACGGAAATTGCATATTGTATGAAAATATTAGAATAAAATGCATTTTTCTATCTTTCAACAATTTTTAGGATTTTATTTGTTCAGGGTTTTTGTTTGTTTGGAGGACAGGTTTGGGGCTTTGTTTATTTCTCACTCTGTATCCCTGTCTAACCTGGACAAAGCACCTTTCCTGCCTCATAATGTTTTCCAGCTAGGGGGACAACATCAGAAACTTCCAAAGGAGGACGTGCCCAGGAGGGTTAAGGTCAGTGCAGGGCTGGGGGAAGTACAAGGCCGGGCACAGTGCAGGGCCAAGGTCAGTGCAGCACCAAGGGGTCAGTGCAAGACTGCCAATACATTTGTGAGGAGCCTACTGCAATCTTGGGGTGTCAGGACAGGTACCTCTAAGATTTGACCTTTCACTAAGCAAAGATGACGGAATAGAGGTGGTGGCCCAGATGGTTAAGGGCCTGTCTGAGAAGGAAGTGTGAGGCAGTAGACCAAGGACTGTGGTGGTGAGACAGGAAGAGCAGGCAGGGCCCAGATCCTGAAGTGTACTGAATGCTATGGTCCACTTAGCAAGTCAGGGATTCGAACTCCAGTTTAGGACCAAGTGACTTCTCTGTGTAAGAATGCATTGATTGGGGCTGGAGAGATGGCTCAGCGGTTAAGAGTACTGATTGCTCTTGCAGAAGACCCGGGTTCAATTCCCAGCACCCACATGGCGGCTACAAACCATCCTTAACTCCAGTTCCAGGGGAATCCGAAGCCCTCTTCTGACCTCTATGGCATTGCACAACACAGGTGCACTCACATACATGCAGGAAATACACTCATACACACGGGGCTGGAGAGATGGCTCAGCGGTTAAGAGTACTGATTGCTCTTGCAGAAGACCCGGGTTCAATTCCCAGCACCCACATGGCGGCTACAAACCATCCTTAACTCCAGTTCCAGGGGAATCCGAAGCCCTCTTCTGACCTCTATGGCATTGCACAACACAGGTGCACTCACATACATGCAGGCAATACACTCATACACACGAAATAAAAATAATAAGCAAAATATTTTTTAAAAGAATGCATTGATCATGGCCATTGCCACTTTAAACGGTCTCTAAAAGAGAATTGGACTGTGACATGTAGCAATGAGAGCCAAGCAGAACAGAGGCCAGCACATTCTTCATCTGTGCTATCTGACAGGGGCACCATTAGCTCAGGTGGGCACTTAAAGTGAAATTTTTAAATTCTGTCCCTCAGAAACCCTAGCCACATTTCAAGTGCTCAGTGGCTACAGACAGAACAGACAATACAGCAGGACTATCCTCACGTCGGAGCTGTTAGACAGACCCACCTTGGATATTTTGTCATTGTCATTGCTTTTGGTATGTCAAATTCTGTGTTCCATTACTCTGGGCTGCCCCCACAGCCTTATAAGCACACAAGTTAATTGCTATTATAAATTATATTGATGATGTGCAAAACAGCTCATTCCCTCATTAAGCCCAGATGAATTACAAGTTTGAAAAACTTAAAATAGTATCATAAAGAAGATAGGAAAATTAAATATCGACACATATAGCCAACTGGCCATATTTCAAATTCATGTTTCAAAACATGACAAAAGAAGTCAGTTCTATTTGCATAGTGTGTGAATAGAATGCATAGTTTTTGAAAGTCTGTGACAAGTTTCTTGTGGTGCTGGTAAATTCTTACACTGGAGGACAGTGTTGGAGGAGGAAACCGGGACCTTACATGCACACCGGGGGCATACTCTGTCTCTTAAGCTACCTCCCAGCCCCTTACTCTTACTCTTAAAATTTCTGTTATCTACTTGATTGATTCTGAGTCTCAAATTTGGAATAGGAATTAGATGCCTGGGATACAGGGACAATCTCACTCCTGGTTAACTGGCAGAGCAGGAAATGGGAGAAGACTCTGTGGTAGTGATCTTACCTGTATTCCACTCATGGTGGCAGCTTCCCCAGGGGAGGTCAGTGGTGAAGCTACTGAAGAGGTAGAAGAGGGCCCAGGCCAGGACGACAATGTAATAGACGTTGAGGAGGCTGACAATCATCTGCGAGGCATAGCCGATGCCTGGAGAGGGGACTGCAGCTTTGGGCTGGGACAGTGCAAAGATTCTCACACAACACCCATCCCTGTACAAGGAGGAGCTTGCACACAACTATCAGGGTCCCATAAGCAAGGCATGCTGGCCCAAGTCTCCTGACCCAGGCCTCCCACCCCAGCACCAGGAGTGGCCTATCTAAGCTCCAGCGGCCCTTGGGTAAGACCAGTACTTTTACTTTAACTCCAGCTGGCCTGGAACCCCTATGTAGACCAGACTGGCCTCAATCTCACAGAAATGTACCTGCCTCGGCTTCCCAGGTGCTAGGACTAAAGGTGTGCACCACCACACCCAGCTTACCTTATCTTCTGCTACTAATCCTGAGCTTTCATCACTGTCAGATTCTGAGTTGTTTTTTTAAATACAGAAGGCTAGCACTAGGTATGGTGACACTCACCTGTAATCTCAGCACTTAGAAGGCAGAGGCAATTGGATTAGCACACATTGAAGGCCAGCCTGGTCTACATCGTACAGGCCCTGCCTATAAATAATAAATAAATAAATAAATAGGAGCCACTCCTTCATAACAATAGTTAATTTTCCCCAGAGTTAGTCCAATATGTTTCTGAAACAAAAACACAAGAGCAGGGTGGGGAGACAGCTCAGTTAGTAGAGTGTTAGCCTTGCTGGCATGAGGACTTGAACTTGATCTCAGAACCCATGTTTTGTTTTTTTTTAAAAAAAAGTTGGATGTGGCAGCATGTGCATCTAATCCACATCTGGGGAGACAGGCAGGCACATCCCTGGAGCTTGCTGGCCAGCCAACCTAGCCTCATTGTGGCAAGTTCCAGGGTCAATAATAGACTCTGTATCAAATAAAGGATAGATGATGCCTGAGGAAGAACGTCTGAGCATCTGAGGTTGACCTCTGGTCGAGAGAGAGAGAGAGGGAAAGAGAGAGAGAGAGAGAGAAACCACATACACAGAGAGAAACAAGAAATTCACATTCTCTCTCTCTCGCACACACATACACACACACACACACACACACAGAGAGAGAGAGAGAGAGAAACAAGCAGCTCATGTATACATACATACACACACTTGAACAGAAACTGGCAATTCGCCTAGGAGAAAATATAAATACTGAATGAACATCTTTAAAATATATTCATCTCCTCTAATCACTGCAGATACATACAATGAAACAATGAGGCACCACTCTGTAGATACACTCTCAGTGATTTTTTTTTTTTTTGAGACAGTCTCCCTATGTCACCATGGCTGACCTGCAACTCACTATGTAGACCAGGCAGGCCTCAAACTCTCAGAGATCTGCCTGCCTCTGCCTCCCAAATGCTGGGATTGAAGGTATGTGCCACCATGCCCAGAAGTGATTTGTTTTGTTTATTATTTTTATTTCATGTGGATGAGTGTATTGCCTGCATGTATGTAAGTATACCTGTGTGTGCAATGCCCATAGAGGTCAGAAAAGGGCATTGAATTCCCCTGGAACTGGAGTTACAAACAGTTGTTAGCTGTCATGTGGGTGCTGGGAATCAAACCCAGGTCTTCTGCAAGAGCAGCCAGTGCTCTTAACCACTGAGCCATCTCTCTAGCCCCTGAATTTTTGTTTTTTAAGACAGAGTCTCATGTAGCTGAGGCTACCCTCTAACTTCCTGTGTAGCCCAGGTTGGTTTTGCTCTCTCAGCCCTCCTGCCGTGGTCTCCTGAGTGCTAGCATTGCAAGAGTGTGCCCCACACTGGGCTTCTTAGTGAATTCTTTTACAAATGGTCTAAGTCAGTGGTCTCCATACTTGCTAAGAAATAGAATGTAAAAAAGCTGGGCATCTGCTTCAGAAGTAGAATGTGTGCTCGACTCTGGACTCAAGCCCCACAATAAATGACCACATTTATTTGTTTACAAAAAGAAGAGAATTGTTTTTTCTAATTTTAGGTAGGAGAAAGTCACCCGTTCAGCTAACATTTCCACAGAACAATCTAATGAACCAGATCAAGAGACGTCAACTTGATCATCTTTTCGATGCCGTCATTCTACTCCTCAGAGTTTATCCCAAACAAATAATTCCACAGGGGAAAGGAGCTATCTAAATAAAACAGAGGTAACAGGAGAATGAGGAAATTTGACAAGTAATTGAAAATGAGCAAAGAGCCCCAAGCGGATATATTCACTTGATGGAAGTTTATGAATCGTTAAATGATCATAGTGCAGAAAATAAAAACAAAACAAACTAAAAAAACTAGAACATAATCATGTGTATTACACAGTAGTATATTATAAGCTCTACAGAAAGGAAAAGAAAAACTAAAATAATCCCCACCCCGCAAAAAGAAGCTGGAAACAACCCCAATATTCCTGGAGGAGTGAATGACTCAACAGATGATGGCACATCGCTATCATGGAGAGCAGTATTGAGCAAGAAGACCAGCTATTAATGCACAAACAACCTGGATGCCTTGGTAGGTGTGAAGGCCATCACGTGGAGTGAAAAAGACGGCCGCAAAGCATGTCCTAACTTTAATGTGATGTTCTCAAGTGACGGGGGTCAAAAGCAGATTGGGGTTTGCCAGAAGAGAGGCTGGACTGGAAAGAGAAAGATGAGTGTGGCCGTAGAGGAGCCGTGTGAGGGGCTGCCATGAGATGGAAATCTGGGGGTCTTGGTGGTGGTCACACAAACCCACATATATGATAAAATTAGAACTACACCCACAACTCAAAGAAGACGCAAAAAGCCATTGAAATAGTAGTAAGCTCTGTAGATGATCCCAATGTCAAACTGCAGGTTTTATTATTATACTGAAGTTCTATAAGATGTCACCCTTGGCTCCCCAAGCTGGAGAGAGGTACATGAGTCTTCTCTGCACTATCTTTATAACTTCCTATGAATCTATAATTATTTCAAAATAAAAACTTAATGAAGATCTTATGTCTATAAGAAGAGAAATAATGAAATGAATCATTCTAAGGTTTTAGGTTATTGTGTCAAAGTGGTTAAACTATTAATGAAGTATTTTTCTCATTTAAAATTCTCTTTTAAGGATCTGGAGAGATGGCTCAGCAGTTGAGAGCACTGACTGCTCTTACAGAGGACCCGGGTTCGATTCTCAGCACCCACCACATGGTGGCTAACAACTGTCCATAACTCCAGTTCCAGAGTAATCCAATGCCCTCTTCTGACCTCCACAGACATTTCACAACATGGTGCGCTTCCTTACACACATGCAGGCAATACATTCATACACATAAAATAAAAATAAATAAAATTTTTCTTAAATTCTCTTTTAAGATATTTTATAATTGGAACTGGAGAGATGGCTCAGTTGTTAAGAGCACTGGCTACACTTACAGAAGACTTGGGTTTGAATCCCAGCACCCACATGGCAGCTAACAGTTCCAGGGGATCCAAAACCCTCTTCTGTCCTTTGTGGGTACTGCATGACACAGGTGCACTTACATACATGCAGACATAACACACTCTCTTTTAAGATATTTTATAATTGGAACTGGAGAGATGGCTCAGTTGTTAAGAGCACTGGCTACACTTACAGAAGACTTGGGTTTGAATCCCAGCACCCACATGGCAGCTAACAGTTCCAGGGGATCCAAAACCCTCTTCTGTCCTTTGTGGGTACTGCATGACACAGGTGCACTTACATACATGCAGACATAACACACAATTAAATAGAAAAAAGAATAAATCAAATTTTTTTTCAATAAAATTAAAATTAAAGATATTTTATAATTGATTAAATATGTCCTTAAAATATAAAATCATTATTATAAATTTAAATGAAATACTACACATATAGTAAAATAACTTTGACCCAAAGCCTTTGCACCATCCTCATCCATTTCCCCTCATTCTCTCTGATGAATGAGGTAACTACCTCACAGACGAGTTTTAAGATGGAGACTCAAGATTTTACTTTAATCTCAGACCTGTTGCTCACCACTCACTCATCCCAAATAAGAGTTATAAGCACTATTTTATGATCCTGGAATTGGACATGGAGTTACTCACCCTCAAAGATGGGACAGATCTTCCTCCAGGCTGTGACACCTCCCTGGCTAGTGTACTGACCCAGTGCTGTCTCCAAGAAGAAGACAGGAATGCCACAGGTGAAAAGGAAGATGAGGTAGGGGATAAAGAAGGCACCTGTGGATAAAAATAGGATCCCATTACCTGCTAATCTCCTCTTCATGGTCCACATTCATCTCCACTCAATAACCATTCCGCACTGCTGGTCAGAGTCTTAGGGGTAAGGAGCACGCAAACTGCAAGAGACAGTATCTGAATGTCTGGAACCACAGCAGGGATCAAGAGGCACCACATTACCTAGGAGCTGTGTGGTCCCATGCCTTTTTTCACTGTGCAGTTTTAATAAGTGCCTACAAGGTTTACTCCTCAGTGAATAATTAGTGCCTAAGTAACCCATCACTTGTGGAAATAGGGAAATCACTGAATGATAAATACCCATAAATATTAGCACAGCCCACAGACTATAATTGTTCATTCTTTTCAAGGAAATGATTATATTAATGTCAGGTATCAGTTTTTGATTTTTAAGATTGTGTTACATAGTCCAGACTAGCCTCAAGCTCATAATCCCCTGCATCAGATTTCCAAGTGCTGGGATTACAGTCAGGGACTTTTAGCAGGCTAAAATCAGATTACCCTTTGGTAATCTTTCTGATTCTTTACCATAATCATTGCTCCTGGAAAAACTATAACTGTCATAAATTCTGGTGTTTTCTCTACATGAACCTCCATCTAACTGCCAAAGTGGACAGGGAAATTCACAGTAAAGAGAAACTTAAGAAGGAAGAACTACATGAAGGGAAATCCAGATATCCACACAGGATCCTCTAAAACTTTCAACTTGCCCTGTTCAGCATGTGTAAGGAAACTTCCTGAGGTAAGAGAAAGAACTATACAAACGAATCTGGGTACACTCAGGGTGGGGTGGCCGACCCCACACCAGAAAGAACTATTCAAAGCAATTAAAAATAATGATGCTCATCCAGTGCCTGTTCCAACTTGCCAGGCTGAATCAAGCGGAGGTACTAGGTAGCATGTGCATTCCTCAGTACTGGAGAATAGTTAGCCCTAGGCCAAAGCAACTCCAGTCCTACCTAAGGAAAGAAATGAGGAGAAACCTAAACCCAGCACACATCACAATCACACTACTGTCGTAAGAATTTTTAAGGGAAAAAAAAATCTTAAAAGTAATCAAAGGGGATAAAAAGACACATATGTACTGATGAAGAAAGATAAAGATAGCATCAAATTTATCTTTGGAAATGGCACAAGCAAGCCATAGGGGAGCATGTGCACTACAGTGATGAAGAAAATAAAAAGCTGTCAGTCTGGAATTGTATAGCCAGCAAAAGTACCATTCAAATATGAAAATGAAATAAAATCCATCACCAGCCAGACCCAGACTGCAAGAAAAGTCAAGAAAACCCTTTCTAGGGAGGGAAATGGTAACGCCACAAAGGAGTGTGGAACTTTGGAAATAGAAACTATATTTGGAAATGTGTAAGAATTGCTTTCTTGTTGCTAAAATCCTTTAAAAATAGAAATGACTTGGGACTAGAGAGATGGTAAGAGCACTCACTGGCTACTCTTGCAGAGGACCCAGGTTCAGTTTCCAGCACCCACATGGCTACTAACAAATGTCTGTAACTCCAGTTCCAGAGGCTACTAACAAATGTCTGTAACTCCAGTTCCAGAGGCTCCAACACCTTCTTCTAACCTCCATGGGCATTCTATGCCCATGATGCACTTACGTATGATACATGTAGGCAAAACACCCATACATGTAAATAGAATAACTAAATAAATAATAAATAAATAAAATAAATAAAAAGTTTTTAAAAACACAACTGACTCAACTGCCCTCTAAATACTTATGTTTATAGCCAAATAGAGTAGTATCTCTCATTCTTCATCAGAGACGCTTCTGTTTGTAGTGGGTGGAGGTTTATGTAGACTCACAACTCACCAAAATGCTGTGAATAAATGACTGTTGAGTACTCAGCCCTAAATGAGACATCTTTATCTACTACCATAACCCCCACTGCCAAGGCTCAAGACATCATGGAACAGGGGGTAGAAAGAAAGTAAAGGCCACAGGATGAGGAGCAGTGCTGTGAAGCACTGTCTTCTAGGCATAAATGGCTATCGTGCTCATGAACTCACTGTGGCTGTGATTAAGTGCAGAAGATTTGCACGAGATTAGGATCATCAATATTCTATTATGCATGGGAAATAATCATGAGTTCCCACCCCCCATGAAGGCCTATGGGCAGTTATCATTGCTGGCTGAGGGAGTGTCACTGATAACTTACCCATGTTCCAATAAATAACCTCCTGTCGTGTTCATGAGAACAACCATAATTAAACTCAATGGGTTACAGACACAAAAAGAAGACACCAGGGTAGGGATCAGGCTTGTTGAGAAAAAGGGTTTCAGTGGAAGAGAGATGATAGGAGATAGTGGGGGTGAAAATGACCAAGATTTATGTATTATGAAATTGTCACAGAAAAATAATGAAATTCAAAAAATACGACTGATTCATTAAAAATTATAATAAAGACTTTATAACAAATGGTGACTGGAGAGATGATCTGGCAGTTAAGAGCTCTGACTTCTCTTTTAAGAGGACTCAGGTTCAGGTCCCAGCACCCACATGATGGCTAACAACCATCCATAACTCTAGTTCTAGGAGATCTGATACCCTCATCTGGCCTCTGCGGGCATTGCATGAATGTGGTGCACTTGCATGCCGACAATACGTAGAAAACACATAGAAAATAATAAAGTTTAAACATGTTTTTAGGGCTAGAGAGATGACTCAGTGGTTAGAAGCACTGCTTGCTCTTGCAGAGGGCCCAGGGGTTTTTCATGACATGGATGCATTTACATACACGCACCTATGACACTTATACACATAAAATAAAAGTAAATAAATCAAATATTATTTAATTTTTTTAAATAAAA